TGACTAGTATACTTGTGAGAGGGATTTTGAGGGGGGGTGAAATGAGGACCCAGATTGTGGGGGCAATATGCTGATTCTGTAAACCGCTTAGAGAGGGCTGAAAGCCCTATGAAGCGGTATATAAGTCTAACTGCTATTGCTATTGCTAAATGGAGATTCTTCTTACAGAGATAGATGTGTTTTTTGTTTTTTATGGTAATTTCAAATGGATCCCATTTGAATCTTAGAATCTTGAGGATTTATCTGAATCTGACATCAACCAAGAAACCTTTTAGAGCATTTCCAAGGGGAAATAAATCTTCAAGCTTACATATGTTTATTGTATTCACCCAGAAATTAATTCTATGGTGTTTAGTAATGTTAAGAAAGTAAATTGAGATCCCAGGTGAACTCAATTGATTGTGACTAGGGGACTCACAAGAAATTTTCAGCCCCAATACGGTATGAAAATGGTTTTTGATTGACTGCTTGATATCCTTTTCAAATTCTTAGGCTAGCCTTATTGGATTTCATAGTCCAATAAGTAACTACACCCAACCCTGGTTAACTTTTTATCAAGGGCAGCAAGGTGCTGCCATCTACTATACTTTCATGGGCGTTACCAAGACATGTGCGCGTAATGGTAACACCAAATCAATGACTGCTGCACCAAATGCAAAAAAAAAAAAAAAGTGGAGTTTTTCCAGTTTGAAACGACAACTTGGAAATCTAATTTTGCTTTACCCTTACAGTACAACAAAACCAGTAAGAGTTTTTAAGGGGCCATTTTACTAAAAGTTGCCGTCGATACAGAAGTGATATTTTCCAATCGTAGAACAAAGGTCGTTCTTTGTTCATTGCGACCGTAAGAAAAACTACGCTTCCCAGCATGCTCAGCGCTCGGAGGTGTGTGGCACGCACGACGTCCGCAGCCTATTTCCCATCATGCCTCGGGAAAGCCTTTTTGTTTTTTTCCCCTTCTTCTTTCCCGCGGCTGTTTGAAAGCTCCGGCAACCGTCATCATGTCTCGTGGGGAAGCGAAACTAGGACTCCCGCCGGGTCTCGGGTTATACCTGAAGGAGAACCGTCTCGCCACGTTTACCCAGTGGCCCTTCGTCTCCGACTGTTCCTGCACGGCGGACAGGGTGAGGGGCTGGTTTCTCCCAAGCCCTTCCTGGGATCCCTCTTCTCTTCGGGGGGGTGGGGTGGAGTGGGTGGTTTTTTTTTCCTTGGAAGTGATGCTTCTCCTGCCTCATGGGCTTTTATTCCCAAGCACATCTTGGGAATCAAAATCACGCCTCTTCCTTCCTTTATTCTTCCTTCCCCCTTCTTCCCCTCCCTTCCCCTCCTTTTCCTCCCTCCCTTTTTCCCCTCCCTCTCTTCTTCCTTCCCCTCCTTTTCCTCCCTCCCTACCTCCAGTGGTTCGATGTCCCCCCCCCCCCCTTGGAATCAAAACGCACCTCTTCATTTCACCAGCTGCAATTGAAACAATTTTGCCAGCAAGCAATTCCAAAAACGGGGGAAGCTTTGTGGGCCATTTGGGTGTGTGTGTGTGTGCAGCACTCCGGCTCCTATCTAGAAGTGCAGAATAATTGCTTTTGGTCTGAGTGTATGATTGCAAGGAATTTAAATCTCTTAAGAGAAGTCCCTGGTTTTTCTTAATAAAATTCAATGGGTTAAACGCAGACTAAACATTCTGAGATTGGATCCCATTTTATTTTCCGGCATAGAGACCCAAGTGAGGCCTTTTACCAATTTTTCAGAACAAAGAGACAGACACTGTCCCCCTCTCCTCCAGATTCATTTATCTAATGCTAAAGGTAAAGGTTCCCCTCACACATATGTGCTAGTCAGGGGTGGTGCTCATCTCTGTTTCAAACCCGAAGAGCCACCATCACTGTCCGAAGACGTCTCCGTGATCCTGTAGCCAACATGACTAAATGCTGAAGGGTGTACAGAACACTGTTACCTTCCCACCAAAGGTGGTCCCTATTTTTCTACTTGCATTTTTACATGCTTTTGAGCTGCTAGGTTGGCAGAAGCTTAGACAAGTAACAGGAATTCACTCCATTACACAGCACTATGGATTCGAACTGCCGACAATTCTGAATCAACAAGCTCAGCATCTGAGCCACCGCATTCCATTTAGTACNTATCCCACAGGCTCTTCGTACAGCAGGTTGGAAGGTCTCCTTGCTAGACCTAGCAGGCACAGATCACTTTGATGTCATTGAGAAACTCTCCCAAGAGAACTATCTCCTCACACAGGTATAGCGGCTAAGAGATTTGGCAGTAAAAATGAGAGCATTTAGGAACGGATTGGACTGAACTTGTGCTATAAACTATGCTTCAGACAGTCATCATGACATTTAGAAAATAATGGGTCATTCACAGACAAATGAGAGCTGTAGCTTCTGGACTTCCTGTGGGGAAAATGATAGTTGAGACACATTCAGAGATGACATCCCAGCTCTTTTATGCTCCCTGTGCAACAGGATCCCTTAATTCTTCCTCCAGATTGAAGAAGGAAGCTAGGAATCCACTATTCAATTCCCAGACTATTGCTCCTCATGAATAAATGGCAGAAACAGAAGTTTCCTCAGTTGGCTTGTAAATTGAGTGACAAGGGGGTAGGGACAGTGGTGGCATTCAATTTTTTTTACTACCGGTTCTGTGGGCGTGGCTTGGTGGGCGTGGCATGGCTTGGTGGACATGGCAGGGGAAGGATACTACAAAATCCCCATTCTCTCCCCACTCCAGGGGAAGGATACTGCAAAATCCCCATTTCCTCTGGATCAGCTAGGACTCGGGAGGCAGAACAGATGGGTGTGGGCCAGTCAGAGGTGGTATTTACCAGTTCTCCGAATTACTCAAAATTTCCGCTACTGTTTCTCTAGAACTGGTCAGAACCTGCTGAATACCCCCTCTGGAGTAGGATCTTCATTGAGTCCACAGTTGCAATGTAATCAAAATTACACTCACCAAAAACACCCTTCCTAATTTCTAAAACACTTTTGGATTTATTTTTTTCTACAGTGAAAGAGAGACTTTCTTTGGATTGCATAAATACTGGATGAGTTTGTTATTTCTTAAGTTGTGTTTAAATTAAAACATTAGAAACTCTTACTGGCATTTGCTTGGCTCACAAAAATTTGGAAATAAAAGAGACTAAAAACATTTAGACAGCATTACTTTTTAAATGTTTTAAAAAATTTAGCTTGTCACCCATTTCTTGTCTCTAGGAACAAATAGTTCTCTTTTTTGAATTAAGGGATAATATTATATATTCTACCAGCAGAGTGTGTTATAGACCATGACTGCGTGGTGCTAGATGAAGTTCCTGTGATAAGCAGGTTCCACAGGCTGGGATGAAAGGATCATTTAATGATTTGAGTAAAAGATTGATACAATCTCTAGAGGTACAATTTGAAATTTGGACAAAATACAAGAAGAATTCAGAAGAAATTAAACAAGTCACTAACAGGATGGATTTTTTATAGAAAACTAGGGATTTGGAGCTACAGAAAGAATTGAAAAATTTGGTTATGCCAGAACCGAGACAGAGGGAATTTTGCTTGCACTGCAGGTCTATTCCAGAAGATACCTTGAGAATATATGAAAAAAGCTTTTCCAGGCATTAGTTGATTTGTTGAACTGGGTAGTGGGAAAGGGTTGATGAAGAACCGGACAAGGTGTATCATGTGGATTCACATTTTGTTGCATTAAGAAAAACACCAAGATATATTTTGGTACATTTCTTGAGGAAAAGAACAGGGGACCAATTTTTGCAATGTGATTTTGAGGCAAGATTGAAATTGATAATGTTGATGCCATTGTTTTAAAGGAGATTCCCATTAGGATCTTGTGTACTTCTTCCAAACAGATTTTTTGAAACAGAAAAATATTCCATTTTATTGGCACACATTGGAAGGAATAATTGTTAAATGAGTTTTGCCCCATTTTATGACATTTCTTGCCTTAGTTGTTAAGTGAATTGTTGCAGTTGTTAAGCTTCACTTGGCTTCCACATTGACTTCTCTTGAGATTGCAAAAGGTATTCATCTGACCCTAAGATACTGCAAGCATCTGAATTTTAAAGATGTGACCATGGGGATGCTGTAACAGTTGGGCGAAAAATGGTCATAAGTCACTTTTTTCAGTCCCATTGTAACTTTGAACAGTCACTAAATGAATGGTTGTAAATTGAAGACTATCTGTAAACACAATCGCCAAGAAACAATAGTAGAACAAAATTTATCAATACTTTCATAATCCCATAGCATATTGTGAAGATTCCTATACCAACAATGGAGATATTGGTAGCTACAAAAAAGATTGAAACAGGGAAGGCATCAGGACCAGACAGATTACAAGTTCTTATTATAAATATTTTTAAATATCAACTTTCATTTTACAAGGTGATGCAATGCCAGAATCCTGGAAAGAGGCAAATACTGTGTTGCCAAAAGGAGGACAAGAACTAACCTTACAAAAAGATTATAAATCAATTTCTTTATTGAACAGTTACTATAAAATATTTTAATCAGTTCTAGCAGACAAGTTAAAAATATTATCACAAGAGTTTATTCACGAGACCAATTGGATTCTTCCCCCCTGAAAAGACAATTAAAAGACAATGGGAGAATAATACTATGATGAGTCACCTCGAGTCATTGATTGAGATGGGTGGTCATAGAAACTGAATGAATGAATGAATTAAAAAATAGTGGATATAATATTTACAACGACATAATGAAAAACAACTGCATTAATTTTCTTAGTTGCCAAGAAAACGTTTCACAATTTGAACTGGTCCTTCTTGTTTAAAATTATGGAAGATATGGCTTTTGGTGAGAATTTTCTTCATGGAATCAAGTCAATAGCTACCGTACATCTAAAAAAAAAGCTTGAGTTATAGTTAATGGTGATCTCACTAAATTACATGATATTCAGAAGGGACAAGATGGGATTGTTCTCTGTCTCCTTTATTGTTTATTTTGGTTCTTGAAGTGTTGATTAGAGACATTAGACAAGATGAAAATATAATGGATTTGAAAATAAAAAATAAGTCCTTTAAATCAAGAGCTTTTGCTTATCGTTTAGTTTTGATGTTAGCGGGCCCTTCAAAAGGAATTGGAGCTTTGATTTAAAAAATGGAAAGATTAGCATGTTTTAAGATTAGTACACAGAAAATAAAGATGTTGGTTAAAATATGACTGCACAAGATCAAGATGTGTTGAATTTTCTTTATTGTAATGATAAGATGATTAAGAAAACATCTTATTTTTTTTAAAAAAGAAAAAGACAGAATTGTAGTTTCTATATGCCTCTTTGAAATCAATTAAAATTATGGATAGATTCAGGATTTCAAGATTTGAAAAAATGGCTGGAAATGGAATAAGCAGGAAAGTTTCCACACAACACTTAAGCATCAGCATTACAGAGCTACAAAGGGATCCCATGTTACTAGGGAACAAAGTGCCTACAGACAGTCCTCACCTTGTGACCATTCATTCGGAGTCCATTTGAAGTTAAACACTTAATGGATGATGGTGACCACCAGTCCTCAGAGTTTTAGCTGTCTCAGCATCCCCATGATCTGTGTGCTTTGCAACAAGTTTGTACTTATAACTGGTTGCCAAGTGCCCCATGATTGCCATTTGCAACCTTCCGTGCTGACTTCCCAAGGAAATCAAAGGGGAAGCCTGTAGAGAAGATTGCAAGTCACTGGGGTCTGCCCCATCTTCACACTCTACTTCCTAGCCCCTCTGGACTCACTCTGTATCAGCCACTCACATACACTTGTGCACTCAAACAGACTACACCCCTGTGCACCCTCTACTCCCCATGCACCATCTCTTGCACACCCGTCACTGATTCAGATGGTGCTTTCTGTGCACCAATCCTGTACTGTGCCTCTAATGTACCCTGTGCACCCTATTTATGTTGCGGAAACACACACACTTTACTTGCCTGAGAGCCTATGATTGGCACTTCCTGTTGGCTTCTCCACTGATTTTGCTTGTGGGAAGCCAGCAGGAAGTTGCCTTGCCTAATAAACATGGGCTTCAGTTAATGACAGCAACCAAAACTTCAGAGATTGCCATTGTTAAATGATGTGATCATGTTTATAGCTGCATTGCTTGGCAAGGGAAATTATGATCCGATTGCTATTGTCATCTAGAACTACCTACACATATTCCTGCATAAGGCCAACGTAGCTAATAATTTGGGCTTTTTCAGATCTGTCTCCTGTGGCAACAAAAAGCTAATTAGGGAGCCAAAATACATTCAAAGGGGCCGTTTTCAATAATATGGATTATGCACCCATCTCTAAAGTACAAATTGATCATTTCCTTTATTGCAGTTTGTCAAGTCCATTTTGTAAAACACAGCAAATAATCTTATATTCACAGGCCCATTGCAATCACAAATTGACTGAGTAGTGTGGCAACTGATTCAATGGGAACTTATTACTCCTTTATTGGAAGAAATAACCTTTTGGGTTCAGTTCCAAGTGGGGAGAAAGACACTGGAAACATGGCAGCTGTTTTGGAAAGATGGTTTTAATGGTGGACAGAATCACATGCCTTGAAGATGTTGGATGAAGAAAAAAGGGAAGAGATGCTGAGAGTGCTTGAGTTTTATGCCCTCTCTGGGCTTTTGAATTTGAGCTTGTATTCTGACTCCCATGAGGCCATGCAGGGGCAACTCTGTAGGCTGTCCTGTAATGATGTAATGAAAGGGCTTTGGGATTCCTATTATGGTTCTGCCTGAAGGAGATAGATGCTTGTTATGTAGAATAACTGGCTCAGGCCTTAATGGCCCATTGACAAAGCTGTGTGTGTGAGAGTGTTTCTGCCTCTCTTTTAGGTGAAATATTCTGTACTTTTAATGTTTCCTAAATATTTCCTAAATAGTAAATATTTCCTAGGAGAGGGGTGGGTGCTAACTTCCTATACCTATACCTGCGAGAAGAAAAGAATTACATGTCCCTATTCCTTCTGTTCCAGGTGATTTTGAACATGATTTCAAGTGGCTGAAGCCAGGAAAGGAGAAATTGCTGTCTGCCTGCTGTCTTCTTCTCCACTGTCTTTCCACTGAACTCCTTTAGGTCAAACAAAGACTGAGCTTCCTCAGTCTTTTCTTTTTTCAGTTGCAGATGAATTGAGACCAGAGATATCACTTTGAAACAGCTCACCTCTGTTCTCACACTGTGACATCTATTATGGCACGAGAGATGAAAAGCAATAAACAAAACCAGAGCCTGAATTACATCTTTATCATAGTTGTACATTACCT